CCAGGTGGCTGCTGTTCAAACAGAACAAGGGGATACTGCATGGTTTAAAATCAATCAGGAAGGGACTGCGTCAGGGTCATATCCTTTCACCCTATTTATTCATTCAGTCTGTACTCTTAGCAAATAATCTGAGAAACCGGACTGTATGAAGAACAACATGACATCAGGACTGGAGGAAGGCTCATTAACACACAGATATGCAGATGAAACAAATTTGCTTGCTGAAGTCAGTATGACCTGGAGCACTTATTTATGAAAATTAAAGATTACAGTCTGCAGTATGGATTACACCTCAATATAAAGAAAACAAAAACCTTCATAACTGGACCAATAAGCGGCATCATGATAAATGGAAAAAAGGTTAAAGTTGTCAAAGATTTCATATTTCCTGTCTACAGTCTACACCAATGGAAACAGCAGTCAAGACATCAGAAGACATATTGCATTTGGCAAATCTGTTGCAAAAGACTTCTTTGAAGCACTGAAGAGCAAAGATATCTCCTTGAAGACTAAGATGCGCCTGACCCTGCCATGGTATTTTCAATCGTCTCATATGCACGTGTGAGATGGACAATGAATAAGGAAGGGCAAAGAGTTGACGCTTCTGAGTTGTGGTTTTGACAAAGAATGCTGAAAAGTACCGTGGACTGCTAAAAGAACAAACAAACCTGTCCTGGAGGACAGGATGCTCCTTGGAAGTGAGTCTGTCTCACCTACTTTGGTCATGTTGTCAGAAGGGACTAGTCTTTGGAGAAAGATACCATGGTTGGTAAAGTGAAAGGTCAACAAAAGAGGGGAAGGCCCTCAACGAGATGCATTGCCACAATGGCTGCAGTGATGGGCTCAGGTATAGTAGGAATTATGAGGCTGACACAGGACCAGGCAATGTATCATTCTGTTGAACATAAGGTAACTATGAGTTGGAAAGGAGCTCTGGTGGCATAAAGCCTAAGGGATTTGACTGCTAACCAGAAAGCTGGTGGTTCAAACTCACCAACCACTCTTCGGAAGGAAGATTGGGCAATCCACTTCCGTAGGGATACTGCCTTGGAAACGTAAGGAGGGGTTGCTATGAGCCAGATCTAGATCGACAGCAGAGAGTTTAGATTTTTTTGTTTTTTTATGAATTGGAGATGACTCGACTCCAAACTAAGGAACCAAATCTCATGAGGTGTTTGGTTGTACATAAGCAGCCTCAGCCGTTTTTCGGTTTTTTTTTTTTTTTTTTTGGTCATTGTTGTAAATATATCTATCACACAACTTTTCCCAATTCAACTTTTTAATCTGTACAACTTATTGAGAGCAACTGCAATAATCAGCTGTGCAACCTTACCCTTAATGCGATTTTTCTAACACTATTACTCCCCTTTGCTCCCTCCTTCTCACCCTTGGTGCGGTGTAGTAAATTACTTAGTGTGGCTTTTCTACCCATAAGTCTTTGTAAACTCCAAGGTGGGATTTTCTATGAGCAACTGAGGAGCTCCTGATTGCTGAAGTTGTCCACCTGGAGTATTTCTGTTAGGAGTGGCAAAAACAATGTTCTGGGAGGTGCCCACTCTTTCTCAGGTGCTTAGAGTTCTGATGCTATGATTGGCTAGTTTGACCACCCTGCCGGCTCAAAAGGAGCCCTCCTAGAGGCAGAACTCTCTGACTGCTGGTTGAGGAAGACGTGCTGCCAAAAGAGACACGCACCCCTGAAAGAGACACGTGCTGCTGGGAAAGAGACACAAGAGACACACACTGCTGAGTGAGACATCGAGGGACCAGCACTGTTGGGAAAGAGACTGTTGGCTGAGGGAGGGTGGGCTGGGAGAGAGACTGAGTTTTTCCTGAACTTGAGTTGTAGCCTGGTGCTTCCCTAATAAATCCTATAACCTGTGAGTTCTGTGTGGCCACTGCAGTGAATTATTGAACCCAGGAGAGAGGTGGTGGGTGCTTTGGGAGAAAC